GCACCCTCCCTCGACGCGCTCGTGGGTCTAGTAAAGGCTGGTCCAACCGATACGAACAGGTTGTGCGTGGATGCTCAAAAGCTGATCCGTGCTCAACCCTGGAACCCTCACGCTTACATTCTGGCTGGAACGAGCGTCCTGAAGCGCGTGAGTCTAAGGGAGAAGCAAGCATCACACGACCAAGTTCTTCGCCAACTGTTGCGCTTGTTGCAGCATGGATTGGCTCTTGCTGTTGGAAAAGATTATGACACAGCTCAACTAGAGTTGCTGATGAGCTATTGCCACGTTAAGCTTGGTGAGCAGGACGAGGCAATTGCATCCTCGGAAAAAGCGTTGAGCCGGGTGGAAGCAGGCAAGAAAAGTGGCGCCTTCGTGTCGTCAGTGGACATGGATTTGTTGAAAGCTCGTTTGCTCTCGATCTCAAGTCCAACGAAGGCTATCGATAAGTATTTGGGTGTGATTGCCACTGTCGCTGCGACGTCTTCGGGGCGATTGATTCCGATCCTCCTTGAGCTTGGCGGGCTGTACGAACAATACCACCATTTGGATGCTGCTATTAATCTGTGGAAGCTTGTGGCCTCGTTAACGGCGACCAAGTCTGTTAGTTGCACCGATGGCGATGACAACATGAGCAGTACTACAACTGCCTTGAGCAGCAACAGCGATACGGCGGCGTGTTTCTTGGCTAATTTGCGACTGGCGCTTATTCACGGCAGAAAAAACAACGTGAAGCCGGCTTGCAAGCACATTAAGGTCGCACTATCGCTCGCCCAAGCTGGAGCAGACTCGAGCTCATCAACTGTCGCTGCGTTCGTGGAGAACGTTCTCACGAACTAGAGTGAAGCCCACGGTTTACATGTAAATGCTGGCAGTGTTTCTATTCTAGCAAGCGGTAATTGATTCTACACGGTGGCGTCATGGGGGCCTAGTGCTTGAAGCATGAAGTACTCTTCGTTCGGTAGTATCAGCAGAGTGTAGTTGTTGCTGCCATTACCCAGATAGCCGTGTTCTCGTCGTTGAGGCTCGCCTTTCTCTTTCTTGCCTTTGCTTGTCTTAGACTGCACCCAAGACACGAAGACATCTGGGAAGCCCCATACCGTCACAGCAGCCCACGGCAATTCGGCATTTTTGACAGAACGCTGCACCTTCTCCACAATAGTCGAGCAAAACGGAGCTGCCAGCAGACCACGCCATCTGACCGTCGTGATCTCATCGCCTGGCACGCTCTCAAATGAATCAGGGATACCCGTGAACGTCGACACGTACTCTTCTAGCTTCTGTCTCTGCAGCAAGT